CAATTCTACGCTTTAAGCGACAGTGGACAGGAAAAGAGAGAGGGGGAATGACTTGCAAAAATAATGCACTGCTTGAATTCAACTGGGGATATTGCAATCACAATATGTGGTAGGCTGGAAGGATAAAGCGATATACTTACAGCTCTCACACTCTATCTACCCCTGCAGAAATAAACAATATATTTTTCATGCATGTCTTTGCAGTGTTCAAGATCTGCAGAGACATAACCACAAATAATCAAGACCTCAGTGGTGTTTCTTGTTCATGAAGATGTGTTATGCTGTGCCTGCACTGTTTGTAGAGGGTGCAGCTGTACACCCTGCTGACTTGCCAATTAGGTCTACACATTTACTTATAAACCCTGCTGATTTTCCAATTACACCTACACAGCCACACATGCTGCTGACTGTAATTAGGCCTATGCACTCTCTGCGACTAACAGATGTGGATATCATGTGCAACTGCGGAGGTTATTGCTCGTAATGTACAGCTATCAAACTCCAGTTAGAAATCAGTCAAAATAAAGGTGGAAAGACATGTTTTGATGAAAAAATGAAGCGAAATAGTGGTCGGCTCTCCTGACAGCTATACTGCAGAGCTTCCTGTCTTCTAAGGAAGCAGTGGTAGTTCATACATAGCCGAGTAGTTCCAATAAAGTGAATTAAATATGGGGTCAGCTGAGGGTAACTCCAGAGCTTGTCTTACTGCAGTAAACTGAACTGACCTACTAAATTACGTGTTGTGCCTCTAAATGCAAGGTTGTTGCACAGAAAATGAACAAAAATAAACAAGAATGCGGAGTTGGCATTGATCAACACACAAAGAAATGTGAGATGTGAAGACAATGGACCAGGGCCATTACATCAGCTCCCAGAGACATCTCTATATTGTGTGACCGTCCGTTAGCTGTTTGGTAGTTGTCTTTGTCATTGTGGCCTCCATGTGGACATGTGGAATTTGCCCCACAAATAAGAATCACTACTTACATTAGGAAAACTTATATAAAACCTCAACACATGTTAAGATAACGTGCCACCAGCTCATCTGTGACATGCTGACGTACAGTATGTCTTCCTAACAAAGGCTCTGACTGGTATCAGCTTTCATCCATACAGCTCAAAATTTCCACATGCCTGCCTTTATGCCTGTTTTCCAAAGAAGGAGTCACCCCTTTTTAATCTGAGCAATAATGAGTCATAAACTCCTTCTGCTCTGTGGCTCTCACTATACAGTATGTCCACCTGGGGGCTCTCTGCTCCCACTCCAACTGCCAAATTAGATTTTATGAACCTGTCTGTCAGCCCAACTCCACTGAATGTTCCCTTCATCTCTCCATTTCTCATACATTTTATCCCTCATGGTTCTTATTTCATTATCTGCCTCGCTGTGTGCTTTTCTATTGTCACTTGCCCACATAATTCTCAATGAGTTTTTACATTCCAGGCATCAAGTGTAAAATATTTAAAACATTTCAGTGTAAAAGCTGGAATACTCTCTTGAAAAATACGTAGTGTGCCTTAAATTGGTTTGATTTGATCCTTCTCTGAGCCTGCTGGAAATAAAAGCTGGAGGAGGCAAAAGGACATAAAGGAAATAATGAAATTTACTCTTAAATGGATTTGAGTGGTTTCAGTGCCACGGTTTTTTTCTCCAGCAGCTTACACTGCCCCCTGGTGGTCCAGATTGTCATTGCAAAGCACCTGCAATTTATTTTATTCAGTTTTGTGAAGAAAAAACTGGCTACACACTGCATATGTTGGCATATTAAAAAGTCTCTGTTTAGACTGTCTGGTAAAGATTTTGATGTTGATTCAGAGTCAACATCTGAAAACAATGCATGAGAACATGAATTGCTATTGGTCGTGTGAGTAATGCTATGAGTTACTGTGTGAGAAATATTGTCTGATTTATGGGCAGTGTCATTATTGTTGTCATTATAGATTGATGGAAACAATACCAAAAAAGCCACATAATATTCTTTTGTTGGATGCATTGTTGTGTGTGCGTGTATGAAGGAAGGTGTCTGTATGTTCTCATATCTATCCAGTTTGCACATTTGCACATCAGTTAAGCTCTGAATGTTCCCAGTACATGGCTGAGAGTCAATATCATGACCTCTGCTCAGTGAATGCATGAAACTCTGTGAAGGCCCAGTCACATTTCTCTACAGGTTGAGTTCTGCTTCCCCAAATCATTTCATTTTACCTCTGTCGTGTCATGGTGATGTTCACAGCATATGTGTTTCTCCAGGGATGGCAATGTCAGTCTGTTTGGTGCTGAGTGACTCCACCATGAGCTGGGCATGTGTTTCTGATTGGAATCTCAATAGCTGTTGGATGGATTGCCTTCCAGTTTGGTTCAGACACTGAGTCTGTCCCTCAACATAAATTGGAATCACTTTGGTGATCCCTCACTTTTCATCTAGTGGCACCATCTGGGAAAAGTTTTGTTGGTGACCAAAAACCCGCAAAACCAAGGATCAGCCACAGCTGTTAGCCAACTTTGAGCTAATTAGCAAATGTTAGCATTCTAACAGGCTGAACTGAGATGGTGAACATGGTAAATATTATTTGGTGCAGCAGGGTTTTCTGGCACAAGGTTGCATGGAAAAGGACAGATAGATAGATGACCCAACAGCCTAAGGGGTGTTTCCCATGTTTACATTTCTAATTATTTTTAAAGAATTTTTTCCGTTGTGCTATATGCAGTGCTGTAAAACAGTCCTTCCTTTTTCTTTTCAGCTTCACAATGGCATGGTCTGTGAACAAATTACAGTACAAACAGTACAAACAGTACAAACGTGAATCCTGTCCAATCTCCTGCAATGTATAACTTTGTACTGTTGAAATTGATATGCGATATTGAAAAAGTGCAGCCTTGTGTATTTTCAATCATTGTCAACAAAATCTTAGCCATAGTTTGCATCAGAAAACACTTACACTGTAAAGTATAGTACACTGTTATATTGATAACACGACTAAACATTTTGACTACCTTGTTCATAAACAATGACACAAGGTAAACCACTGTGTTGTGCTGTTTGTTTGATATGTTTTGAGAAATACACTTACTGTTTTGCAAATGTGAAGGATGATTCGAGAAATGTACCAAAGCAAGTGAGAAAAACTGTAATGCCTCTATCTCAATTTCTGATGTAGATCACAATTCATTGGAGGTTAGAAAGAGCTGCATCACATTGCCCAAATGTGTTCATAGCCAAGTGAACGCGGTTTAGTGGCTTGGGCATTGAAATTTGGGTAAATAAAACCCTTAATTTGCACAATGTTATTGCTCTGATTGCCTCACTCACACACACAGACACACAGATTTCAATATAACATTAACCAACAACCAGACCTCTGACGCATACAAAATGTTGTTGTATCCTTACAAAAAGTATGTGCACTACCTAGTTTTTGAGAAAAAGTACTTGGAGTGCAGATACTGAGATGGTTGAGATGGATGACAGCTGGCAGTACGTGGAGCTCAGCTGTGGAGTAGAGAGTCAAATCAAGGAGAGTACCCACTGGCACTGTTTCAGCCTCTTCATTAATCAGATTCATCATAATGACTGAGTGTGTGTGTGTGTGTGTGTGTGTGTGTGTGTGTGTGTGTAGATAGATAGATAGATAGATAGATAGATAGATAGCAGAGGGACTGCTGTCACATACTCACTGATGGGACATGGCCGGGTGTAAACAAGCTGTAAATTATCCCAAAGCTAGCACATGCAGTCACCCTAAATCTGCAGAAGAGAGTGAACAAAGATGCCGCAAACGCTCGCTGTGGAATTGCACACAGGGTGGGAGCAATCACCATCCACCTCCCTCCTCCACCTCTACCATTCTTATCACTCAAGTACTGCAGCACTGGAAGGCTTCGGTTCCATAAAACATCAGTGAATGAGAGCCCCTGACAGGCCCTCACAGTCCTCCACCACTCAACAGATGTGAAATAACCTGATAGGCTCCCCAGAGAGATGAAGAGCTGGATGGGGAGGACGGGGGAGAGGTGGAGGAGAGGAGCAACAGCACAGTAAGGGTGGTGTAAATGTCTGTCTACACCGGCAAACATGAACTGGCAGCTAAATGACAATTCCTCTCACTGATTTACAGATTTTTATGAATATATGCAGAAGTCTTGCTCCAGACATATGTTGCCACAGTCAAAACGTGTCTTACGGGGCAATAGCTCCCTCTATGGATGACTGATGATACTACATCTTGCATCTTAACACAATCATTGGATTTCCTTTAGTTGTGTTTTTGTAAATGGGTAATTTAGAAGGTTTTGACCAGATATGTTGCTTTTTAGTGTGGTTGGTTTGATAGCCTGCCCGAGGAGCTAACTATGCTAATAATTTCCCCTTTTTGGCGCCACATTAAAGTTAGGAAGCCAGCTGTTTCAAAACAACACGAATAAACTTTACCTGTAAAAATAAACATAACTGGTGTAACACTGTGCCTGAATCACTCCTAATTGCTAGATCATAAAAGTAATCAGTCTGCTAAGCGTGAGTGTTAAAACTTTGGGTCAAAAGAAGAATCTTGATGTTGTATGTTTCAATAATTTCCACTGTATGACATTTTAAAGGACATTTTTGTTGCTATGACCTTTTACTACACACTATTAGCATTACTTTGTATTGTTTTGTCTTCTGTGAGAAACGTTGGGAAGGTGGTGTAGGTAGGTAAAAGGTGATGGTATTTTCTTTTTGTTTCTTATGTTTAAAACTAAATGTTGTCATGACGCACAAGTGGTAGACGGGTGTGCAGGAAAATGAAATCATGCAAATGAAAAAGCAGAATACCAACACACTCTCAGCTCGTAGTTCATGACATATAGCCTACATTGTCATGTCCATGATGGAAACATTGCAGGAAAATAACTTATTTCATGTTGCATTTATCAGTGTGCTACAGGTTTTTAAAATGATATTATGAGACTATAAATAATTGAGGAAGTCAAACACACTGTAGTCAATGACGACACCTTGGAGGTCAATATCTGAGTGGTTTATTAGAATAAGAAAGTTGACAAAGAGCAAAGTCTCCATGCGGAGTGACAGGCAGAGCTCAGGACAATGTGGAGAATGGTGAACAACTGTTGGAGTGTGTTTGCATGTTTAGGGCGTGTGCAGTGTATGTGCGTACTGTCAGAGGGTGCATGCACGTGTTGCTTTTTGCGTGACGACAGACAGATTTCTTCGCGGACACAAGCACACACACTTGCATGTACTGTACAAATTCACACATCGCTACTTCTGTACACACACAGAGGCTGTGTCGTCATGCAGCTACTGCACTTAAATTACATGTAAGCATCAAGGTTATGTACACGTAGTTGGGACATGTGTTGTCATCTGATGACAGCCTGCCCTGAGGGCCCCGGGGCAATGGGGGGCCAGCCTCTGGTGAGGGCCACAGGACGACAAGATCCTTCACAGTAGCAGGAGACTCCACTCCGCAGGAGAAGAGAAGAATCTCTTTTTGAACCTCATTAGTTCACTCTCTTTTCCTCTTCTTCTTTATCTTCTTCCTCTTCTTCTACCATTTCCTTTCAGCATCCAAATAGGACACCCCAGTGCTGCTCACAGCACTGCTTCATTGTCACTGTAAATATAATAATCATTATAGTCATCAGGTTCGTCTTCATTGTCGCCATCAAATCTGGCACAACAGAGAATTGAAATTGAAATCATATACAATGAAATTCCATATCATTTCAAACCAAATATCTACCACAGAAACAAACTATAGAAAAAACAAACATGACAAAAATGATCAGTGCTGACTAAATACATCTACAGCTTTACAAAAATGGTTGATTTTGTTTTCGCCTTGTTTTTGTGCTTTTTCCTCTCATATGTTGGCTTGGAAGGGAGCAGTTTCATGTCAAAACTCCCAAATGTGATGGTGGATTTAATACAAGTTAGCCTCCATTTCTAGACTCTTTCTAGGGCATAGAGCACATACAGTACAGTGGAACACTGTAGGGCAAGATGGCAGTTATTGGCTGGGGGGCATCACATCACAGGGGCCACACAGCACGAACAACCCCAACACACAAAGGCATGTTCTCTTTAACAAGCACACAAGCACAACAAGATAAATAAGAAAAACAGACAGACTGGGTCATGAGGGCTGGGTGGGAATTCGCGTGTTCATATGTGTAGAATAGAGATAAAGAGGGAGAGTGTGTGTGTGTATGTGGGACTGGAGGCAATATGTGCTACATTTAACGGAAAAAAACTCTTAATTTCTAAGCACAGGAAAGCAATTTTCCACAGGAGAGGCTTTGAAAATGTCTTTAAAATTTATTTAACACATTAACCATTTGATATTTTTGTGAGTTAGTTTGATTTCTGTTTCTGTCACAGATAAATAAAGCAGCTAACCTTTAATAGTGACAAACGGGACCAAAGCACCAGCTCACATTAGGTAGACATGTTACGTGTGTGTGTGTGTGTGCGCAAAGAAATTGTGTGAGTCTGTTAACAATTAAAACTGAATTGAAAGAAGAAGCCAAAGTGCAGCTGCTGAAAGAGGAGAAATGGGAATGACATGAAACATGTAAAGAAGGAGGATGATGGCTTTAATAAACAGACTGACTTACATGAGGTTGCACCTGAATTCTTTAGCTGCTCCGTAATGATAAACTAAGGTAATTCAATTGTGCAGTTAGTACGATAACATCATGTGCATTACCTTTCCTAGAACCAGTCAGTGTCAGCCTATTTTAAGCCTGAGCTCTACTTCTGATCTTAATTCAATTGCATCCCGATTTTGGTTGAAGGGTCGACCATATTTGTGTGTGTGTGTGTGTGTGTGTGTGTGTGTGGCTGGTGGTTAGTGGAGGGGTAAAGAGCTGGTTGAATGTGCACCTCCCTCTCAGGGCTGATGTGTCTGTAGTAATCTTCTCAAGGGCTCATCAGGCCATTAGAGGGCCGGGAATGTACTTTGCCTAATCAAGCATGTTTAGTGAAACACCGGAGGAGATGCAGAGTGAGGACACGGCTGGCTGGGCAAGCCGGCCGAGACAGAGAGGTCTCATTCACACACACACACACACACACACACATATATATAGAGACAAGCAGCACTCAGGTCACAGCAGAGATGTAGACAGAGAGATGAGGGGCCTGGCTGGTGGAGGGCTCCGTATCCTCAATACTAATGACCTGTTTCAGGGTGGAATGTGTAAAGAATACACTGTACTAATGTGGTGAGGCGGTAATGCAGTAACATCATGTTCGCCCGCCTGACCTCCTCCTCTGTCCTTGCTTTCATAAATCTCTTTCACTGGCTTGTCTAATGCACCACCTCCAGCTCGGGCTGTGTGTTTTTCTTTTAGCGCTGGGTATTGAACCTCAATACTATTTTGGTGCCAACTGAGATCAAGTGTCAAAGAATTTACACTATTGTATTCATGGAAAGTTCTCGTACGACTGCTGGTGTTTAGACAATGTCATTACTTTGGCTTTTGTTGGACATTGTTTGGTTTTTTTTGTAGAAAGACATGTTTCTCAAAGTAAAAGATCAAGAAAGAAAAGAAAAGAAAGACAAAAGAAAAGTCTTGTTTGTTATTCTATTGACCTTAGTGTTAAAACATTTCAAACAATAATTTACATTAATTTACATTAAACCTTCATTAGTTTTTTGGCCACTTGGGTGCTATCCAAGTAGCACACAGCTGATTTTTTGAGCATTTTTGCTGAAAACAGCTGCTGAGGCCAAAACCGTAACTGAAAACAGTAAGAGTGAACCAAACCAATTACGTTCTGGGCCTAAAATACCAAAACAATGAGCTAAAAGACGCTATAAAGCTCAGTATTGCCTGTTTTAAAATGTATATTTAAACCATATTTTTTAAACTAGTCTCAAAAAATCTCAAAAACTGAAAGGTGTCATTTTTACACTAGTATCAAAAGATTTCAAACAATGGCCAGCCCTTGTCTTCAGCTATGTAGAGCCCAGCATCTCTATTTTAGCTGCACTTCATTGTGTAAAGTATAATAGTTTAAATAAATTGTATAGCATATACTGCTCCCATGCAGGGCTCCGACACTGTTAGGCTTCACAACTTTAATGGCTCAATGGAGAAAGGAACAGGGATGAAAGAAAGAAAGAAGAAGAAGGGTGAGAATGAGAGTAAAATTGATCAAAGCTGTTTTTTTGCACTCAGTATAAGTAACGCACAAACCCAGAGAGACTCACACACACCAGCCGACAGACTGACGCACACAAAAACAGTACCCCTACCACACCATGACCCAGATGAACTAAAGCTATCTCTGGATCTACATTTGAATCAAGAACGGATGAGAACAGACAAAAACAGAACACATCAAAAGATCAGACAGCGGAGTGAAACTCCACACCCAAGTATACCCCATGCCCATCTGTTTTCTTTATCCTGCTTTTGTCATGAAACACACTGAAAGACAGAAAGGGATAAAACCACAAGGGATGACCATTGTGACAGTTAGCAGTGCCCCAATCCTGGCCTCAGCCCCAGCTTCAGCCCTCAGCTCCTCCCTGTACTGGCAAACCAGTGAATCACCACAGTGGGTGAAGCCTAAAAGATGCCCGGTCCTGGTTGGTACATCTCACATGACGGATGGAGCTGCTGTCCTCCTCATTGATATTCTGCTTGGCTGCAGTGTTGGGTTAGGTCCCTGACTCTTAACGGCTATTTGTTGCCGCAGTCTCCTCCTGCTTCTGGGGCACAAAGAGGCTCAGTGTTGGGCAGAAGAGGCTGAATGGAGCTCCCAAGCGGCCGGGCCTCACAGCCCCAGTCAGACGGCCAGACAGCCACAGCTCACATTCCCTCCTTCAAATGGACTTCGGAGCCCAGGGGGGCCTCAGGTCAGGTCAGAGAGACCCAGGCATACTGAGAGGCAGCTAGGAAGTGAACAATGAAGGGGAGATATTGTTCCTTTTCCCAGTGCCTGTCTCCTTCTCACATCTCCAAACTTCAGTTTGCTTTGCTGAGAAAACAGTGATATTATAAAATATCAAATTAAATTGGCTTCATCTTCTTCCCTATGTGTGTCTTGCTTATTATTGCTTTCTTTCCCTTCATGATGGCTTTGTCCAGTACTGCTTCTGAGGTACTGGGAATGACAAAAATTACAATGGGAGTTTCAACCCCTCACTAGCCACTGGTCAACCATCTAAACCTTTGATTGCTAAACAAATAGAGGATCATAATAAAATCCGTTTGTCTCTCTGTGACTGTTTATAAAAAGAGGAAATAATGTTAACATCAACCACCTCCTTAATGAAACTTAATTATATAGTTATACTTCACAGTTTAGACAGGACACTGGTTGGGGTTGTTGTGGCCACTCACTTCCACACATACACACACTGCATGATTCATTCATGAGTCACGGCCCTCTGGCACGGCTACAACAGTTTTAGTCTCATCTGAAATCCATAGTAAAGCGCATTGTCATCTGCTGGATGCCACTGGCACAAAAAAACAAAAGCAGAAACAAAATTTCCCACTCAAAGAAGATCCATGGTCTCAAAACGGGGAACAAAATGGTAGAGGGAGACGCTTCACATTTGGCGCTGCGAGCAAAATTGTCATTTTTTAAAATCCCCACACACTGCTTTGCAAAGATTCCCTTTCCTTTGCACCCCTCTCTTTAGCTTACAGTTTGTCCTGTGGTGTCAAAGTCAAGCTCTGTGGGTCATACCACTTACAGAGCAGAGGGGTGCACCTCTGATTGAGAGCAGAGGAACGTGAGATGTGATTTCTCCTCTTTTTCCAACTCTCTCTTTGTTTCTTTTCTCTCTGTCTCTCTCTTCAGTCAGCTGAATGACGTCAGAACATTGAATGACAGTGAGAGAGGACAGACAGGGTAAGGTTGGACCGGGACAGTGAGTCTGAAGGGTTGATTTATTTCAGTCCGCTGTTGGAGTGAATGGGTGTTCAGAGAGAGCTTGGTGCCAGGGCTCACGTACTTCGCCTCACTGGCCACTGGGGGTACGCTCTCCCATGTTCTTCCCTAGAAGATGGCTGAAGTCAGCCAGTTCTCCCAGCCCTCGAGGCCCGTGCATATCTGGCCTGATGAGGCCTTGACGCTGAGGGTGATAGGGCACTCCATTGTTGCTGTTGTAGTTGAGTGCCTCGTGACTCCAGCGAGGCTCCCCATAGTCCATGTGGGGAGTGGGAGCGGAAACCACCCTCCGTCGGTCAGGGGAATCCTGCGGCGTGGCGGGGTAGATGTATTCTCCCGCTGAGTTCCTCAGGGTGCCGCTGGGACGACTGCCACCGTGCTCCCCTCTCTGGGTGGCTAAGATCAGGTAGCGCTGGCGCTCGGTGTGGGGGGGCAGCACAACCTCCCCTGGGTCCTCTATCCGGACCATCCCTCCACCCCCTCCACCTCCATGCAGGAACTTGGAGCTCAGGTAGATGACAGAGTTGTTGGGACAGGGTGTCCCGACAGCGGTGAGGAAGGTCTGGCTCTGGTCCCAGTCGGTGTCTGGGAGACGCATGGCTCGTTTCTGCTGCAGCGGGGTCTGCTCTGGGGTAGGCAGCAAGCCCGGGTCCATCTCTCCTTTAGGCCAACCATTGGGTGTGACAAAGGGATTGTCTGCCTGTGAACGACGCCTCTCACCGCCGCTGGTCCTTGTTACGCTCATTACTGAACCGCTGCGGCCCTGCCCCAGCATGCTCTGCTCTTTGTCACTTTTGCGGCGGGCGCCACTGGCCCCAGAGCCTCGAGAGTGGCGGTGGCGGTGACTCATGATCCAGCAGACAGTGAGGCCAGAGAGGACAGCCCCTGTTGCGAAGGCTGAAACAGCAGACACCACCAGCAGGTTTACAGAGACCAGGCCATCAGGCTCCTCGATGAAACTCTCTTGGAGCAGCATTCCTAGAAATAGAGAGATACAATCAAACACAAACAGAAAGCCATCAGTCAACTGGTGGAACCATTCTAATAGCATCAGTATTTCCTGTCTGAAAACATGTGGGCGTTAACAAACGGCGAGACAAAATGGCCTATTTTCTCTCTCCTCTCTGTGGGTGGGAATGGTCGTATGCTTTCCAGCCAAGGTAGCTCTGGCTAATTGCCTTCATTACGTAAAGTGGATGGTGATTTTAATAGCTGTAATAACTGTCTTCCTGATTGAGAATAGCTCTCAACCCTAACATGTTTCAAAACATTAGCTTTATGGGGAGAGAAGCCAAGTATTGGCATTAACGGTGAGTGATAATTTAAAGTTTTCATACTTTTTACCGTGAAAGTCTGTTACCATCTAGGTGTTTGGGCTGTATACACTACTTGTGACTTACAAGTAGTCAGTTCAGCTTACGTATCAGTTATCTTATCAGTTAATAAAACATCTCTGGATACCCCTTTTTGTATAATGTACAAACACAGTACAGGTCTGAAACACCCTAACTTGTTTTCTAAAAAAGAAGTATACATTTTATATATATATATATATATATATATAAAAAAATCTCAAATAAATAAGCTGCTATATTTTTGATCCATTGTTGCATCTATATGCCAACGTCTTTGCAAGGATGAACATGAGGCATAACGTTTATAGATAAAAGATACCATAAAATATATATATAAGCAGACAAGACCACAAATTCCTGTATTTCTTTTGTATAAGAACATCAGATGAACTCCCTTAGAGAGAACTGTTTATGAATTAATGAAGATGTGAATACAGCTAGGCCACAGCGCAGGCTGCCATGGATCAATTAGGAAAATGCCAGAAGAAAAGTTGTTCTTTGCTGCGTGAGCTCCTGGGACCAACACCAACGAAAACAATGAAATTGTTCCAAGGGAAGCAGATTGGAGAAAAGCAAAAGAAGGAAAGAGGAGGGTGTTACAGAGAGAGAGAGAGAGAAGATGCCTGAAGCGAACTCGAACATTTGGGGCCTTAGACAAACATAGTAATAGTTGTTAAATTACAACACCAATAGAGGCAGAGGGAGGACTGTCTCCACAAGGACAGTGAAATAAATCCTTTCTCACAGAAAATAAATGGATGTCATTAATAGGCATTGGGAGCCACTTACTCACACACAGCACGGGAGAGGAAGAGGACTAAGAATGGGAGAAAGAATAAACAACAACAGCAGCAGTTTTTAAAAAAATAAACATGCTTTTTATTGACTGACAAATGAATTTTTAATGGGGACAAATGGAGCTAGTTTTGGTGCAAGTACTTGCAGTTGGTGGTTAATTAATGTGGCCTGTGGCTTGGTATAATAAAGCGTTACTCTACACATTGACATTAAGCTTGGAAATGACAGCTAAAACCCTGGGAGAGACTGCTGAATTGCTGTGCTGTGCCGAAGGTACTCTTGTACACATTAAAAGGGCAATTTACCAAAAATAAATAAATGAAAAACAACACAGTGGAAACTATTTCTACTCTCACAGTGCAGCCTATCCATTTTCCTGCATTCAGGTAATTTATTGGAATATCTTTCCCAAGAAGATAGAGCTGAAAGCTAGATTGTGTTGGTTCAACAAAAAAACTCACACTTTCAAAGCTCTACAGTAACACCTCTTTCCAAAAACAATAACTTCACTACTAAATAAAATCTCAGGCTCCATTTTTAGCTTCTTCCTTCTCTGAGGAGATGCCTGCAACTGGTTAAAATAGCTTAGTAGGGTTCCTCATCTGGGGACCATGAATGTCTGTCCAAAATGTTTTCAGTTTGGACCAAAATGGTGGAGTCCCATCCCTAGAGACGCGTTGCTAGCAAAAATATAATTGTGTCAAATAGCAGCTAAAACCTGACATGAAGGTAAACCTTCTCTGTGTTTTACCTTTATTTATTCAGGCAGTTGGTTCATTGCCAGTGCAAAAATGCACTCTTAAGAGTCCAGGAAACAAATGACCAGAATTATATACCATTCATCGATCCCTCGTCACTTACAATTTCACATTAAAGCTTGGATCCTCTACACTATCAATGCAAGTCCATACTCTCAACAAGTTTTCAGCTGCCATTGACTGAAACCTGGCATTAATCAACTGGCCTTGTTGGTCAATCAATGTCCTTTTCAGCACTAATTAGACCTTTATCAACAATCCAATAAGCACAGTGATACATGTGGACACAAACCTTACTTACAGCCTGTTAATTATGTGACGTGCACAGTCCATTTTACCATCGGACAAATCCTCCCGAATAACTGGGATCCCGTTTTATCAGAGGGATTGTGTTCGGACTTAAAGCGTATTTGTTTTTAATTTTTTTGCTTGCATAGTGCCACAACCTCATCTTTCCTCATTTCCTTTTAACTTCTTATTACCTCTTTGCTCTAACTTTTCCATTAGTTCATCACTGCTTCTGAATATTAATTGGAATAAATACATTTCCATCTGATTTTTTTAAATCTAAAATGGGATTGTTCGTAAAGAATTTTTCATTTAACATTCTCCTAAAGCAGGTCCTCACATGTGGCTTGAGTTATGCATTTTAAAGTGTTTATTTAATCTAGTATTAAGGTTTATTTAGAAAGTTAAGATTGCAGGATGGGATGTAAAAACCGTATTGCTTTATATCTTAAAATTGGTCTGAACACAGATGGCAGCTCATAATTTGGATCTCGCCATATTTCTTTCCTCCCTTTGTTACTTCATGCTGCCATGCAGCCAGCTTGTGGTTACATAGGCTAACCTGCACAGACGTCTATTTAGTCCTTGTGTATTCATTTAAGCATCCTTGTTCTTCTATGTTTACATTTAATTTGGCATTTGTTCATTGGGAGTTCTTTTCTCCTTGAACACATTGTCGTCATCTTTGTTGCAGGAGCCTAAACATAGCGCTGATTCTTGCTGTATTTATTTTCAAGTTTCAGGCCAATATTCAATTTGGAAAGACTGCCAGTTTCAATTACATTATCGCTCCTCTCCTCAGTAAGAAGGCTGTTCTTGGGGGCAGCAGATGCGACACAAAGAAAGGCATTTGGAGGTTACCAGCGTGTTCATTTACAGTTTCCGCACACGCACACACACACACACACACGCTGGAGAAGTCAGGTAATGAATTGATTCATTTTTTTCCCCCAATAAACCGCAGCCTGATGACTTTGTAAACAAAAATGAAGCACTGTGACCACAGAAAACTCAAGGCAGCAACATAAAGGGGGGGGCTGCAAATCACCTCTCTCACACACATCACATCTGGAATTGTTCTTGCAGTTCTCAGCTGCAGAGGTTGTAGATATTTCTCTGACATTTACCTCAACTGTGGTCCAAGGTTGCTATGTGGCACTTCAGATTAAATTCTGCACGGTGCAATAATACTGTTGTCATCTCCATGCAGGAGGAGAGGTCTTGACAAGTGTGTGTGTGTTTTACAGTAGTATGGTTTTCTGTGTGTGTAGATGTTTCAGCTGCAGAACGGAGACAGACTGTCCTCTCCTACTCTATGTGCTTTCTCATTCTCTTTGACATGGTTACTAAAATATGTTAATTATTCATCATTTCTTTTTTCTCCTACGAATGTCTGACTTTCTTGGATGCACAGCATGTAGAAGAAAATCTTTAGCTAGTGGCAATAAGCTGAAAAAGCCGATGGAAATGAAAGGACGGAGTGATTTGGTAGTATGTGTGTGTGTGTTTTTGTGTGACAGTAAGCAGGTTTTCCTGCATCCTACAGAGGGGTGACAGTAGAAGCAGTGGCCTGCACACTCTCTCCTCCCTTCAACTCTCCTCCTCTTCCAATCCTGCTCACTTATTAAAGCTTAATAGAAGCCAATGGGCCTGCCTGTCAGCCTGACGCACACTGAACCGCTTGTCTTGAGGCTTCCAGCTCCAATTACAGTGTAACAATGAGAGGAGAGGAGAGGAGAGGAGAGGATAGGAGAGGAGAGGATAGGAGAGGAGAGGAGAGGAGAGGAGAGGAGAGGATAGGAGAGGAGAGGAGAGGAGAGGAGACAAAAAAAGGAGATTTGAAACAGATGAGGTGAGAAGATGAGAGAAGGAGAAGGCTGAAGAAAAGAGAGAAGAAGAGGTCATAAGTGAGGATTAAAGAGGTGAAGAAGAGAGAGAAAAGGATGAAGGGAGGTTTGAGGAGAGAAGAAGGATGGGTGGAAAGGCTCTGTTGTTGAAAGCAACACTATTATAGGATATTTTGTATAACAAAATATACAACATGTCTATATACCGCGCCACTTAACTGTCAAATAGAAAGCACAGGAGCTCTGTATTTTTCTTTGGTGTTCGATATCCTTTGTCTCTAACCCACAGTCATCTGTTCCTTCATGTATCTTCCTTCCCTCCCTCCAATCCTCTTGTTAGCTGTTAATCCTCTCTCCATATCGCTCTCTCTTACCCACCACTCCTTTGATCACCAGGGGTGGCGGCATGATGGGTGTAATGGCTTAAAAATTCAAAAGAGAAGTGGAGAAACTTTTACTCGCACACTTTCAAGTCAAGGTCGTTCCCTGTGCGATCAAATTTAATATCAGTACGACAAAGTGATGCTTCCGTTACATGGCGAATGCGACAGCTGTGGTCATGTTAATCGGAGGGATTTTTATGTGGCTGCCTCTAAGTTTTCCCTCATGTCTTCCGCTCTCCTTCCTCCCTCCCTCCATTCTGCCCGGCGAGGAAGGGAAATTAATGAAAAGCCCTGCTAGCTCCATGCCAGTTGTTAAACATTTCCCTTGATTAGAGCACTGGCAGAAGACTGTGTATCAGCTCAGCCCATGCTCACAGTTTGGCGCTTTCGACAAAGGCCTTGCGAACATGCGTTTATGAGATAAAGACAAAGGGTCAGATGAAGGGGAGTAGCGTGATTTTTCACCAATCATCAGTGAAGTTGATGTTGATTAGAAAAATGCATCCAAAATATAATCACAGTTTATTACTACTTGGGTCTAATTTTCAT